TGGCCATTTCCCGCTTCTTCAGAGGCACCTTGCACCGATCCAGAACAATAGTTAGAATAAATCCATAAGGGGTGGCATGGTGGAGACATTGATAACCCTATCCAGTAGCTTGGTGATGAATGCAGGCCAGTTAATTTGCCTTCCACATTCAAGACATTCCATCAGAACTAAGTCCATATAGTTAGCAATGTGCCTTCTTTCCTGCCTGGGCAGTAGGCACTTGTTGACAAACTCAAATAGGACTTTGTGTTGTGGCTTCATTTGACTCTTGTGCACAAACTTGGCCTCATTCACTTCTTCAACATCGTAGAATTTCCTAGTGACTTCAAAGGCAGGAGGAAGGGAATCTAGACTTGGCCATCTTTGCCTAGTGTAGTCATCATATTCCTCAGTAGGGATGTCAAGAATCTCACCCATCTTCTCTGCATCGAAGGTCAGTTAAACCCCTTTCATTTGGTTTGTAACTCTGCCATCCTTGACCTCTGCATTGGCTATGAATTTAATGATTTTATTCCTAGCTAGCCTTCCATCCATCTGAAGGACCATGTCCTTCCAGCCCTAAGCAGCTAGTGCATCAACCAATCGAACCATTCTTGGTTCCACAAAGTCTTTCAGCAATCTATCCTTCAAAATTTTTCTTTTGCCAAACTTGGCCAGCTTGTCTTGTTCACCATCAGAATCACTCTCTTTTTCACCACTCCATTCCTTATCATCAACAATTCTAACTGGTTTATTTTTCATTGCAGACCTTGTCCTCTTGGCCAATGAAGATTCAGCAGCCTTAGACCTTGATGAGGACTTCTTGGAAGAAGTCTTGTTCTTTTTAAGCTTGGGGATTTGAACCTCCACAGTTGTATGATCCTCCTGATGGACTTGTTCTATCTTCTCAACATCAACATCCTCAGAAGCCTCTACAACCTTAGCTTTTCCTTTATCTATCCTCTTCTTCTTGCTTTCAGCCAAAGTCTTTTGTAATTCACTCTCACTCTGTTTCACCATACTTCTTGTGGCTCTCTCCTTTGGCATGGGAATTTCAGCAGTTGTTGAGGAATTGGCCTTTCTTTTCTTGGTGTTCTTTGTAGTGCTTGGAACCTTAGGTGTTGGAGTTCTCGTTTTGTTGGGATTATAACTGGCACCTACTTTCTTCAGAAGGTCTGCTAGGGTTTCTTCAATGGATGGATCGGGTTCATCCACATGAGAACTTAAATTTACCAAACCCTTAGCAGCCTCCATTGATCCACTTCCCCCTATTTTCTTGCCACTTTCTCCTACAATTTTACCCTCAGTTCCACAAATTGCTGGTCTAATCATCTCAAAGGTGGGAGACGAATCAACCACTTCTACCCTTGTTCCCCTCACATCACAACTTGCACCCTCTCTCTCCTTTTCTTTTTAATTTTTATTTTTATCTCCTCTCCTTCTCAACCCAAGCATTTCCACATCTCTAACAGACCAAACAAGAACAAACATATTTTCTACACTTTCAACCAAAACAGAATACCTCAGAAGGGGAACTCTGAATCTTCTCAGAATTAGAAGACCCAATTCCTTCCCTTCACTTGAAGACTTGAAGGAATCATCTGAGTGTTCAGATTCTTGGGCTTGGCTATCATCCAATTGTGCATTCAATCTTTTTGACAGTGCACCTATAGCCACTATTTTACGAGCGATCATCTTAACACTTATGACAGGCTATCAGCTCAGTAGAAGATGTTGGTGCGCTCTATTTGCTTCGGAGTTGGGTGTTTGGTTAATATGATTTAGACATGTATTTCTTGGTATGGCGGGACTCTGTCCTGACCTTTATGATATTTATGTACTCTTAGAGGCTTGTAGACATATGTCGTGTACGTGAAAGTTTATATGGCTTTGTTGGCTTATGTTTTGAATTTATAAATGATCATATTGGCCTATTAGACCCATATGTCACGTGTATATGATGATGTAATAAGAGAGATATGTTACGTTGGTACTCGGTTGAGTAAGGTATTGGGTGCCCATCACGCTCATCGGTTTGGGTCGTGACAGAATGAAACCATGGATTTCACAATATTGTGCTACATTGAGGTGGCGCACACGCTAGATGAAAAGCGTGGGGTCGTGCACCGTTGGGGATTGTGACTTAGTCCGTCCCGTATGACTATTAAACCGCGTATTTGATTGAAAATTATTTTCCATCATTGTATTTTGGAAAGTATCATCATGTGTTGGGCTGAATGCCATATTTGGGCCTCGTACCAAATGTTTTGGACCCTTAGGGCATTTTTACTGCTATTCCTCACTGTTTTGACTTCATATTTGTACTTAGTCATGCTATATTATATTGTTTTCATAACTCAGCCATAATTACTCTTTGACCTTTTAAATGATATTTTGGGCTGAGCATCATGTTTTTACTGTTGCCCAAGTAGCTTGAGAGATTTCTGACTGAGTTAGGTCGAGGGCTTGTGTTGTGAGGATATTATGGGATTGGGATGCGTGCCTCAACATTGTGGTACTGATTCATGATTATGAGGCCTACGACCTGATTTGTTATGCCACGAGGTGGCTTGATATGAGGCCGAGAGCCTGTTTGATTATGCCACGAGATGGCTTGTTATTGCGCTTAGGCCGTAAGGGGCCCCTCCCAAAGTCTGTACACCCCCAGTGAGCGTGGGTACCTAGTGTGAGTGATATGATGTAGCCCGAGGGGCTGTTGTTATTTCATATTGTTGCCTGAGGGGCTGTTCTTGATCCATGTTTTGCCCGAGGGGCGGTCCTTGATTTATGTTATGCCCGAGGGGCTAATTACAAGTAATTGTATGATAGCCCGAGGGGCTAGTTCTGTTGATATTATGCCCGAGTGGCGGTTTATGGTACATGTTGTTGACCGAGGGGCTGTTTACGTTTCTATCATGTTTACTCACTATTTTATCACTCGTTTGAAACTATTGAAAACTGTTTTAAAAGGTTTTACCGAAACTGAGCATGATTTACAGAATAAATGATTTCTGTACTGTGTTAAAAATATCCTGCATTTGTTGTAGCGTTTTGACGTGGTTTACGTGTTTTCTTACTACTCAGCTTTTATTTACTTTTATTACTTACTGATTTGGCGTATTCACATTACTCCCTACACTGTGTGTGCAGATTTAGGCATTTCTGAACCCGATAGCAGGTGTTGGTTGCTTAGTGACAGAGTCATCGGAGTTAGCAAGGTAACTACCCGATGTTCGCAGCCCTGCTATTTTCCCTCTTGTATTCCTTAGATTCTTTTGGCATATTTTCAGACTCTTCATTGTATTTAGACCTTAGTAGATGCTCGTGAATTGTGACACCCCGATGTCGGGCTTGTGTATTTATTTCGGACGATTCATTTAGACTTACATTATGAGATATTTTATTAATTAAAGGCTTAAAATGATCATTGTTGATTAAATGGTTAATTCAGGAGTTTTGTCGGCTGGCCTAATTTCACGATATGCGCCATCACGATCGAGTTGGGTTTGGGGTTGTGACACTAAGGTATTGGGCGATAATCATTTCCTCTTTAATTATTAATAATATATTTAGGCCTGCATATTTTCTCTCAGTGTTTGTGTAAATAGTTAAACGTTAGAGAAAGGGGTTTGCCTGGTAGGTGGTATAAGTTGGGTGCTAGTCACGTCTAAGAAGTAGTTTGGGATGTGATAGTTGCTACACATGATAATAAGCATTACTTTCTTACAGTTGTGGATGATTATACTAGAGCAACTTGGATTTTTCTTATGCAGTTGAAAAGTGAAACAATCATATTTCTAAAACACTTCTTTTGTATGGTAAAGAATCAGTTTGGTGTTTGTGTTAAGATAGTTAGTACAGACAATGGCAAAGAATTATTTAACCATCAATGGAATGCTTTTTTACAAGATCATGGGGTAATTCATCAAAGTAATTGGGTTCACACACCACAACAAAATGGGGTGGCTGGAAAAAAACATAGACACATCTTAGACACTACAAGAGCTTTGAAGTTTCAGGCTGGAATACCAAGCAAGTTTTGGGGGGAATGTGTGCAAACAACTATTTATCTTATAAACAGACTTCCTTCTAGAGTACTAGATGGTGAAAGTCTTTTTGAGTTGTTGCATGGCAGACAACACTCATGGGCACATTTGAGAACTTTTAGATGTTTGTGCTATGCTACAAATGTGGTGAAGGAAGATAAATTTGGACCTAGAGCTAATGAAGCTATTCTAATGGGGTATTCTACTACTCAGAAGGGTTATAGACTGTTTGACAAGACTACTAAATCCTTTTTGTCAGCAGGGATTTCATATTCTGGGAATCAACATTTCCTTTTCTCACATCACAACACCAACAACCTGTTTCTACTCATCAATCCTTAAATCACATAGATGATGTATTTGAGACATTACAAAGAGAAGAGATGATCACTATGGATCCATACCTCTCAAATTCAACAAGCCAATAATTCAATCAAGTAGATACAGTCTATGATGCAGATGGTGATAGTGGTGATGTAGCAGATCAAGAAAATCCCACAGATGCAGCTAACCATGCAGATGTAACAAATGATGTTGATCTAGCATTTTTGGAACCACATGCATCAACTGAACCTTCTCCAGCTGAACTTACCAGGGTACCAATTGATCATCTTGTTGGTAGTAAGAAGAGTTCTTAGTGTCCTTATCCAATATAAAATTTTCTATCCTCAAAAATACAAAGACTACATCATGGCCTTCTCAATAATCGCAGAACCATACAACTTTAGGGAAGCAGTGAAAGATGACCGATGAATACAGGCTATGAAACAGGGGATTGAAGCTTTAGAGGATAAAAAGACTTGTGTGGTGGTGGACCTGCCTCCTGGAAAGCCCTCTATAGGTTCAAAATGGGTCTACAATATCAAATACAAGGCTAATGGGGAGGTGAAAAGATTTAAGACTCGACTTGTTGCCAAGGGTTATAATCAACAAGAAGGACTAGACTATCATGAGATATTTTCACCAGTTGCATAAATGGTGACAGTTAGATCAGTGATAGCACTAGCAGCCTCTAAGGACTGGGGTCTTTTCCAAATAGATGTATACACTGCTTTCTTGCAAGGTAACTTATATGAGGAAGTTTATATGAACTTGCCTTAAGGTTTTAAGAGACAAGGGGAGACAAAGGTCTGTAGGTTGCTAAAATCACTGTATGGGCTTAAGCAGGCATCAAGACAGTGGAACCTTAAGCTTACAGAGGCCTTACTCAGTGCAGGCTTCAGTCATAGTGTACATGATTACTTTTATTCACCAAGAAATCTGGGAATGAGATTGTGATCATTTTTATCTATGTGGATGATTTACTATTGACTGGAAGCATTATTGAACTCATTAATAAAGCAAAATCAGCATTACACAAGCAGTTCAAAGTCAAGGATCTATGTGAGCTCAGATACTTCCTAGGCATTGAAGTTTTGAGATCTCACCAAGGAATCCTCCTTAACCAGAGGAAGTACACTTTAGAGCTTAATTCTGAGATGGGATTGAGTGGTGCAAAGCCTGCTCTTAGACCCTTGGAACTTAATCAGAAGCTCACCTCATTGGAATTTGACAAAGGCATTGGGAGCAAGATATATGATCCTTTGGTGGAAGTAACAGGCTATCAAAAGCTCATAGGAAAACTCTTATATCTCACTGTTACACGACCAGACATCAGCTATGTTGTGCAAACTCTGAGACAATTCATACAGACTCCAAAGAAGTCTCATATGGATGCAGTCATTCGTGTAGTGAGGTGTCTCAAACAAGAATCATGAATAGGGGTAATTATGAGTCGAGGGACAACTAATGCCTTAGTTGGTTTTGTGACTCAGACTGGGCAGCCTGTCCAATAAGTAGAAGGTCTGTTAATGGTTATCTTGTCATGTTTGGTAACTTTTTAATATCCTGGAAGTCCAAGAAACAACACATAGTGTCTCGCAGTAGTGCTGAAGCTAAATATAGAAGCATGACTTATATTGTAGTTGAGATAATATGGTTGTGAGGGTTATTCTTAGAGTTGGGGAGCCCAATTTATCAGCCTGTTATCTTATTCTTAGATAGCAAAGCAGCGATGCAGATAGCTGTCAATCCTATCTTTCATGAGCGCACTAAACACATTGAGATAGACTGTCATTTCATTTGGGAAAAGCTCAAACAAGGTCTTTTGCAAATGCAGTATATTTCTACAAAAGATCAATAAGCTTATATCCTCAGTAAAGTCTTGACATCCCCTCAACATCAATTCTTTCTTGGCAAGCTGGGAGTGCTCAACATCCTACACCCTCCAGCTTGAGGGGGAGTATTGGAGTATGCAATAGTATAGTTAGTCAACTAGTTAGGGGTCTTAGAGTACATAGTGAAAGTTGTGGTATGTTATAGTTATTTTAGGAAGTTAGTACCTAATTGTTAGTTAGGATTGTATATAGTCGGTGTTTATGCTTCAATCAACTCAATTGAGCTAATTTCCAATTTACAGATTCTTCTCCATGATTTCTCTCTACTAACTCTAACACGTGTCATTATTTGTCACGTAGTACTTACTCTTACCTAAATTATTGATTTTTAACTAGGTTACCCCAATCTAGCTAACTACTTGCCGGCGAATGAGAACTAGAGGCAATTTTTCACAATGTGACTACAGTTACACAATCGGACAAACTTTGACTTATAAAGATATAATTGTTCACGCAGAAAGGGCAGGAAGCAAGCAAAAAGGAAAAGAAAACAAGTCAAGTCGTTGAGATAGAGTAATAGATATCATGAGATATAGCTCATGATAATATGAGAATTAAAAATTAAAAAATATGCAAGGTAAAGAGCAATGACAAAAGGGTATGGCTTGTTGGTTGTTAGTTAATATCGGCCACGTCCCTACATGTTCGGGGTCTTATACTGTATATTGCGATGCGTCGTGGATTGGTCTCGATGCGGTGTTGATGCAAGACGGTAGGATGATTGCCTACGCGTTTAGATAACTGAAGGTGCATGAAAAGAACTATCACGTCCACGACCCTGAGTTAGCAGCTATTGTTCATGCCTTGAAGATTTGGTAGTACTATTTGTACGGTTTCCCTTATGATATCTACACCGATTAACGGAGTCTATAGCATCTATTCAAACAGAAGGATCTTAACTTGCGACAACGGAGGTGGTTAGAGCTGCTTAAGGATTATGATATCACTATTCTATACCATATCGGGAAGGCCAATGTGGTGGCTGATGCCTTGAGTCGCAGGGCAGAGATTTTGGGAAGCATAGCATTTCTACAAGTAGGTAAAGAGGCCATTGGCATTGGATGTTTAGGCCTTTGCCAACCAGTTTGTTAGATTGGATATTTCTGAGCCGAGTTGAGTTTTGGCTTGGTTTCTCATTATGATAGTATTAGTGAGCGTCGGTATGATGACCCCCACCTGCTTGTCCTTAAGGACACAATTCAACATGATGATGCTAAGGAGGTCACTATTTATGATGATGGTGCATTGAGGATGCAGGGCAGGCTATGTGTGCCCAATGTATATGGTTTGTGCGAGTTGATTCTCCAAGAGGCTCATAGTTCGCGGTACTCTATTCATTCGGGTTCCGCGAAGATGTATTAGGATTTGAGGCAACATTATTAGTGGAGGAGAATGAAGAAGGACATAGTGGAATATGTAACCCGGTGTCTAAATTGCCAACAAGTGAAATATGAGCATCAACGGCCAGGTGGATTGCTTTAGAAGCTAGAGATTCCGAAGTGGAAATGGGAGCAGATCACTATAGATTTCGTTGGTGGGCTTCCACGGAATCAGCGAAATTTTGCTGCGATTTTGGTGATTGTGGATATGCTGACCAAGTTCGCTCATTTCTTTTCTGTGATGACTACTTATTCTTCCAAGTAGCTAGCTCGAGTTTATATCCACGAGATTGACATGCTTCATGGCGTGCCGGTATCTACATCTATGACTGGGGAACGCGGTTTACATCACTATTCTAGAGGGTCGTACAACATGAGTTAGGTACTCAAGTAAAGTTGAGCACAACATTTCACTCTCAGATGGACAAACAGTCTGAGCGCACTATTAGGATACTGGAGAATATGCTTTGTGCTTGTGTGATGGAGCTTGGGGGTTCTTGGGATCAGTTCTTGCCACTTGTGGAGTTTGCCTACAATAACAGTTATCGGTCGAGCATACAGATGGAACCATATGAGGCTTTGTATGGTTGACAGTGTCGGTCTCCAATGCGTTGGTTGGAGCCGGGCAAGGCTTGGCTATTGGGTGCAGACTTGGTTCAGGATGCTTTGGAGAAAGTTAAGGTGATTCAGGATAGACTTCGTACAGCCCAGTCAAGAGATAAGAGTTTTATGGATCAGAAGGTTCGTGATGTTGCATTCATGGTTGGGTAGCGAGTCTTGCTCTGGGTTTTGCTCAAAAAGGGTGTTATGAGGCTCGAGAAGAAGGGCAAGCTGAGCCCAAGGTTTATTGGCCCATTCGAGGTGTTGCGGCGAGTTGGGGAGGTTGCTTATAAGCTTGACTTGCCTCCCAGTCTAGTAGGAGTTCATCCCGTATTCCATATTTCTATGCTCCAGAAGTATCACAACGATCCGTCTCATGTGTTGAATTTCATCTCTTTCCAGTTGGACAAGGATTTGTCTTATGTTAAGGAGCCGGTGGCTATTTTGGATAGGCAGGTTCGAAAGCTGAGGTCAAAGAACATTGCTTCAGTAAAGGTTCAGTGTAGGGTTCAGACAGTCGAGGAGGCGACTTGGGAGATCGAGCATGATATGTGCATCTGTTATCCTTATCTTTTCATCACTTCAGGTATGTCTCTATGCTCATTCGAGGACGAATGATTATTTTAAGAGGGGGGAGGGATATAACAAACCGGCTGGTTGTTTTTAGAGTAATAGCCCTGATCCCTTATTTACTACTTTTCCCGTATCATTTTATGCTTATGTGACTTGCCTGGAGATTTTGTTTTTGGTTTCGGAGTGAATTGGGACACCTAGTCCCTGAAACGGAAGCTATTCAAGGATTTTGACTATTGTTGGAAACGTATGAATACGAATCCGGAATGAAGTTTCGTCGGTTCCATTGGGTGATTGTATTTTGGTCTGTAGGTGAATTAGGCTTGAAATGACGAAAGTTGAATTTTTGGGAAGTTTGACCGAGAGTAAACTTTTTGATATCAGGGTCGGATTCCGATTCTAGAAGTTGGAATAGGTCCATAATGTCGAATATGACTTGTGTGCAAAATTTGAGATCAACCGGACGTGACTTGACAGGTTTCGGCGTCGGTTGTAGAAGTTTGAAGTTTTAAAGTTCATTAAATTTGAATTGGAGTGTGATTCTTGTTTTTATTATTGTTTGATATGATTTGAAGGCTTGACTAAGTTCGTATGATGTTTAAGGATTTGTAGGTATATTTGGTTAAGGTCCCAGGGGCCTCGGGTGTATTTCGGATCATTTTGGACTTGTGAGAATTCCTAAACTTTTCCAACTTTTGGTATCATCGCACCTACGGTGAAGTTGGCCGTAGGTGCGGACACACACGTGCAGAAAAAAGCTCGCAAATTCTGCCTTGGTCTAGGTAGCCAGCGGTCGCAGGTGCGACATAAGGACCGTAGAAGCGGAGCTGCTCCTGCGGAGGGATGATTGCAGAAGTGGAAGGAGAACTGGGTGAGGAATTCGTAGAAGTGGACATTTGTCCGCAGGTGCGGCCATTTGATCGCAGAAGCGGACCCAGTTGTGTTAAGTCAAGTCCACACCTCCGATGGAATTTTCGCAGATGCGACATTGCAGGAGCGACTAGGTGTCCGGAGGTGCAAGATCACTGGGCAGAAAACGCGAAATTAAGAGGGTTTGATCTCATTTTCACTTTGGGACTTTAAGAGCTCGGATTTAGGTGATAATTTGAAGGATTTTCAGTGGAAGCTATTGGGTAATGATTCTTAAGTCATTTATGGTTATATCCCACTAATTTATTGCTCATTTCATCTTTTAATTAAGGTTTTGGGTTAAGAAAATTGGGGAAAAAGTGGAAAAGTCCTTCAACCAAATTTTTGGGTTTTAATTGAGATTTTAGTATCGGAATTGAATAATTTTGGTACGAGTGAACTCGTGGTTTCGTGGGTATTCGTATTTTGTAACTTTTACCCGATTTTGAGACGTGAACCCGGGTCGACCTTTTTGGGCGAATTTCTAATTTCTCGCTAATGTCTTGATTTCATTAATTAGATTAGTTTCTTATAGTTATATTTATGGCATGTAATTGCTTTTGGCTAGATTTGGGCCATTCAGAATTGAAAAGTCGTGAAAAAGGCATTCATACTGATTGACTGAGCTTGGTTCGAGGTAACTGTCTTGCCTAATCTTGCGTGGGGGAAATCCCCTTAGGATTTGATACTATTGTGATACTTCTTGATATGTGAGCACCGTGTACACAAGGTGACGAGTGCATATATGAGCTAATTATTGTAAAATCCGATTTTACTGGATAGTAACCTGTTACATCTTAATTGAGTTATACCAGCATGTGTAGTTACCCTGTTTAGCCTAATATCACATGTCTACGAGTCATAAATTCCTATTTGAAATCTGTGCAGCATGCTTAGTTGAATTTTTATTTTTCCTTGATTTGTATCAGTCTTAAACTGCAGAGTTTTTGCTGTTAATTGTTGTTTCCATCGGTTTCGAGCTGTGTGTTTACTTTGGGACTACGAGGCGGTACCTCGGGAGATCCCCCTGCACATTTACTTTTGGGACTATGAGGCGGTACCTCGAAAGATCCCCTTGCA